GCGCCCGCGGAAGGGCTGCGTGCGTGTGTGCCTATCTCCTCCTCTCTGTCGTCTCCCCTCCGTGTCGGAGCTCTCCGTCTTCTCTAACAAACTCTCTGCCTTGCTTCTCCCCCGCCCCCTGGGCTTCTGCTTTGTGGATGTTGGCGGCTTCTTGTTGTGACAGGAGAATGTGTGTGTGTCCTGGGCCCAGGAGGATCGGTATGTATCTCGCACCGGTACTCGCTGGAGCGCCGGGCTCGGGGGTCGGATGGGACCCGGGGAAGGGGCTGCCAGGCTGGGCCGTGTCCGAGGGCTGAGACCTGGCCGGAGGGAAGGACTAACGGTTCTGCTCGTGGTGAATGCTTCTTGTTCCTCCTCCCCTGCTCCCCGTCTTCTCCAGCGGGCTAATTCATTCGGGTCTGTCAAGTGCCTGAAAGGCACCTGGGCTAAGCGTTTTTATCTGAAGCCATGGGTGTCTCTGCGCAGTTAAGGCAAGTGTTTTGGAGGAACTTGCCTGTGCAGCATTAATTGGCCTTAATAGTACAGTTATAACAAGCATTTATTAAAGGAAGGGGTAATGTTTCTTACATTTTATCAGTGTAGTACTACAAAACCCATAAATTGACTGTCTGACTTGTTATTGGCCATATTGTATTTGTAGTCTGAAAAGTAGCATTTGTACCCTGTTCTGGGCTTGGAGAAGTGTTTAATACTGGCTTGATTCTAATATCTTGACAAATCTTGATTGGATTGTAAAACTTCTACTTAATCTCTTTTCCTTCTCTGTTGTCTCTTGATCAACCAGAATGAACTTGGGATCTTAAAGTAATTATTTAAGGGCTAGCTGGAGTGTCTGGTTATATTTGGGGCATCCATGTTGTGGGGAGAAATAGGCGAGACTTAGAATAATTTCATTCAGGTTGCCAAACTTGGAATTTCTCTCTTACTTAATCAACTAGGATTTATTAAATTCAGTATGTGAAACAGACTGATATCTTAAGCCAACATGGATCTACTATAAATGATACAGGCTGTGGAAAATTTGAGGCCAACTTCTTACTACTTCCTCTTGGATTTCATGTAATATTTGATAAACTAATGATTAAAAATCAGCAAAATATCCTCTGGTGGCACTGCAGAGCCACTATAACAGCAGTACACTTGTATTTTTGCTTCATCATGGATCAACAGCAAAACTGTCAGAACAGTTGTGGCACCACGTATGGGTCAGCACTAAACACAAATGCTTAGCAGTCAGGAGAACTTTATTCAGTTATTTATTTTTTTATCTAATGGGAGACCAGCACTGAATCTGAGGTGCTGCTGTGCACCAGCCACATCTGTAGAACCTTGAGGTTCCCATTCTATAAGCAAAATTTTTGCTGTTAAATGTCATGTGAAGAAATATACATAACTGCTACCAAAATAGCTCCATTATAATTAGAGGGCAGTGAATAGATTTTAAAAATCTATGTTTGGAGTTAGTTTACTTCTGTCATGCTGTATGCATGTGAAGCCTGGGCTGGAGAAGTAGACTTCATGGGAAGCAAATGGCTAATATAAATTTAGTATGCATCTGGAAGTTCAAGCCAATATACTGCTGCTGAGTGTCTGTAGAGCTGGCTGTGGCTCACAGGGCTACAACCAGAGCTCTTCCTGGTAGCTGAACAACAGAAAACTGGTCAGTTCAGTCTTCATAGCTGTCAGTGGGAGACTTGGGAGAGGTCAATGGACAGGAATTTTTGTCAGTGGAAGTCAAGACTGACAGGCAGTCATTCATGGGGAATGAAGATGTGATGCTAGGAAGCCAGTGGAGTGGTAGAAACATGAATTCTACTTTGCTTTCAGTACTTTGTATTTTGTAATAGAGAAACAGGTTCCACTCATGGTTACTTAAGGAGAACAGGCAAGTTTGGAGGGAACAATGTGTCTTGCTTTCTTTTCTTGCAACACAGAGTGAGGTGAAGCTTCATATATTTCCGGACACATCCTAGCTGATCCTAGGTGATCAGAATCCTGTGGCAGAATCTATGGAAAGCTTACAGAACAGTGATCGCAGAACATGATCCTGTATTGCGTGATCCTTTAGACTGAATATTGGGGCTTACTGCATCTTTTATAGGGGCTGTGTCTCATCTGAAATACTGGTATGCCTGCTTGGCTGAAAAAATTAATCAATTTAGTAACTGAAGCACCTTGCATAACCCAGCAGTACCCAGTTTTTCAGTAGAACAATTAAGTCTGAGATATAGTGGTGCTGATGGACTATTGCTTTTGATCGCAGTAAGCGTTGTATAAGATAATTTGTAATGGTCTTTTCTAGGAAGAAGTTTTTATGATGAAACTTGATCATAAAAGATGGAAAGAGAAAACTAAATTCCCCTTAACTGTGTGCACTTCACGCAAGGCCACAGTTCAAGTTTTTTTTTCCCCATTATGGAACTGTTTTTTCAAGTATGTTGTAAAAGACTTCCTGGTAATGAGACATAGTGAATATGGGGTTTAAGAGGCACTCACGCTAATCTTGTGATTGGGTATGTAAATGGGGACAAGGAAAAGTATGTTAGAATAATCTTTCTTCAGAGGAATGAAAAATTAGAAGAAAAGCATTTTTTTAGATGTGGCAAAAAGTAATAGAATATTTTTCTTGGGTACTAAACTTAATAGTTTATCTTAACACTGAACTAGCTTTAGACTATTGTGCAGGGCTCTATTCTAGCTTGCATGTAGTCTTTCAGTTGAGTAGCTTTTTAAAGCAATTTATAAACCTAAAATTTACTGGGGTAGATGAGCTGTTGATAGGAGAGATGCATCTGCTTTCTACCTCTTGTATTTTTATATGATAAGCTAGGAAATTGCTGCATAGGCTGCTGTGGCTATATTGGATATGTACACCATGGTGTCACACAAGTTTGAAGCTTTGCATGTGAAAGGGGGGAGAAGAAACAAAACCTGCTACTGACGATTGCCTAAAGAATATCTGCTGTCTATGACCTGCTGCTTGCTTTTATTGTCTAAAGCATCTTCATCTTAAACCCAGTTGTATGTCATCTCAAAATTGTTTCTTGAATCTTCTGTTAGATGATTTATCTCTTCAGCTTCATAAAAAGACAGTTTTCCTCTCTGTGTGCCACATCTGGCTATGTCAGCTAGGAAATCAGAAAAACAAATCTCCATGAAAGTCTTCTAGAAGGTGGCATTACTGTAGAGTGCTCCATGCTAACTGTTGTCTTAAGTTCTGTTTGAAGCTGCATTGTCTGTCTGGATGATGTTTTCACTTCCTGCCTGCTGAGTGGGTATAAGAGCTAAAATATCTTAAGTATGGTACAGCTTTTTTGTTATAGCCTGATGTAATGTCTATAAACAAGAACCTCTTGATGCCTTTTCTTTCTCAAGACCTGTGAAGCTATGAACTCCATATAATAAGTAACTTTTTTAGGGGCTGTACATGTCTTAACACAGTTCTGGGAGAAATGTTAGCTGTCCCCCCTAAGCATAGTTCTCTTGTCTTTCAGCAATTCCAGTCCGAAGCTCCAGGCTACCGTTGTTGTCTGATGCCATGCCAGCACCAGCTCATCTGTTTCCATTGATTCGTAACTGTGAGATTAGCAGAATATGCAGTACTGTGTGTTACTGCCACCATAAACATCTGTGTTGTTTGTCATCTCATTTTGCTCACAGTCACTTCAGATATGCAACTCAGAAGAAATTTGCGGCACTTTATAGGCCAAAGGAGAACTTTAATCGCTTTATTCACACAAGAGATTATGCTTCTACGCCACAGAGATTTTACCTCACTCCTCCACAGGTCAACAGCATTCTGAAGGCGAATGAATACAGTTTCAAAGTCCCAGAATTTGATGGTAAAAATGTAAGTTCCGTCCTTGGCTTTGATAGCAACCAGTTGCCTGCTAATGCTCCGATAGAAGACCGGAGGAGTGCTGCCACTTGCTTGCAGACAAGAGGAATGCTTCTGGGTGTTTTTGATGGCCATGCAGGTTGTGCTTGTGCTCAAGCTGTCAGTGAAAGACTGTTTTACTACATCGCTGTCTCTTTGTTACCTCATGAGACTTTACTTGAAATAGAAAATGCTGTGGAAAGTGGCAGAGCTCTGTTGCCCATTTTACAGTGGCACAAGCATCCCAATGATTATTTTAGCAAAGAAGCTTCCAAGCTTTACTTCAATAGTCTAAGAACTTACTGGCAGGAGCTCATTGATCTCAACAGTGGAGAGACTACTGATGTGAAAGAAGCTTTAATTAATGCTTTTAAGAGGCTTGATAATGATATTTCTCTGGAAGCTCAAGTAGGAGATCCAAATTCTTTTCTCAACTACCTAGTACTGCGAGTAGCATTTTCTGGTGCAACTGCCTGTGTGGCCCACGTGGATGGTGTTGACTTGCATATTGCAAACACAGGTGACAGTAGGGCAATGCTTGGGGTTCAGGAAGAAGATGGGTCTTGGTCTGCAGTTAATCTGTCCTATGACCACAATGCACAAAACGAACGTGAAGTGGAACGTGTGAAAACGGAGCATCCAAAGTCTGAAGAGAAAAGTCTTGTGAAACAAGATCGTCTCTTAGGTCTCCTGATGCCTTTCAGAGCTTTTGGTGATGTGAAGTTTAAATGGAGTATTGAACTACAGAAGAGAGTAGTAGAATCAGGCCCAGATCAGCTGAATGACAATGAATATACAAAGTTTATTCCTCCAAACTATCACACTCCCCCATACCTCACAGCTGAGCCAGAAGTCATATATCACAGATTACGGCCGCAGGATAAATTCCTGGTTTTGGCCACGGATGGGTTGTGGGAGACGATGCACAGGCAAGATGTGGCTAGAATTGTGGGGGAGTACCTCACTGGTGTTCACCATCAACAGCCAATAGCTGTTGGTGGCTATAAGGTAACTTTGGGACAGATGCATGGTCTCTTAACAGAAAGGAGAGCAAGAATCTCTTCAGTATTTGAAGATCAGAATGCAGCAACTCACCTGATACGTCATGCGGTGGGTAACAATGAATTTGGCACTGTGGACCATGAGCGACTGTCCAAGATGCTTAGTCTTCCAGAAGAGCTGGCTCGAATGTATAGAGATGACATTACCATTATCGTGGTGCAGTTCAACTCGCATGTTATAGGTGCATGTCAAAATGAGGAACTGTGAGTTTAATGTAGTGAACTAGTAACCAAAGTTGTAACAATGGCCAGTATGAGCAGCAAATAAAAAACAACCACCCAATAATAAAACCCCAAAAACCCCTTGGCAAACAAATTGGTTGCTTGCTAGATTCAGCATATCTATTGTTCCTGCCTTCCCCCAGAGCTCTAAATACATGAGAAGTGCTATTGACCTAATATAAACTTGAAGAGGATGCCACAGCTTGGGAAAAGAAGTTTTTGTAATGACTTTGCACTATTGATTTCATGAATGCTGCTAGAAGAATGTCTTGAATTTGGCAGACTTGGAGGAGGGAGGGAAGGAGGACAAAGAATTAATTATCAAAGATCTAGCTGTTCAAGAAACAAAGCCTGTTTATAAACATCTGTAAATATCTCCATAATATCTTAAAGAAAAGATGAGTAAAAAAAAAGAGTATTGTTGAATTCTTACAGGGCTAATTCTTGCAAAGTAGATATGGTTATTTGTGAATATATTGTCTACTGTTTCTTCTAAGCAGAAGGTCACTTTAACCAAGTAAGTCTTCAGTGTAACAAAGTTGTCTCACTTTCATATAGACAATGTCATTCACTTAAGGGTATTTGTCTAAGTGTTGACTTTCAATGCAGGTCTAAGCCATAATCAATACCTGAGATTCTGTTACAGATTAATCATATCTTCTGCACGGTAACTTCTAAACTTCTTGTGCATTAATAGTCTCTTGGCTGTGGGTTTCTGCACAACTTGTAGGGCAATAATACATTACAACATGCGATAAGATACCAGATAACTTTGTGGAGGACTTCAGTTTACAGTATAAAGAAACTTTCAAACTTTTTGAAAAGTCAGTGTTGGTCAAGACTCTGGTGGCTTTCCTAAAAGTCATGTCCTTCATGGACTCCACCCCTGTCTGGTGGTTCCTTATCTGGTAAATAAATTTTTACCTGAAAAGATCAGGAAATCATTGCTAACCTCTTTGTAGCTTTGTAATTTGCACTCATTTTCACTTTGGCTATTTCAAATGGTCACATATTGGATGTCTTGCACTTGAACTCAATTTGTAAGTTGGGTCAAAAACTACAAATTACAAAAAAATCAAGTATGGCTTGTAAGTAGTGGTTTAATTGGGAAACTAACTGGCATGCATGTGTATGTTTAATGGCTTTTTTTCCTAGCAACTTTATTAGCAACTCTGTATTTCTGGACAGCTGGTGTATGCATGTTCTGAGAGTCCAGAATGCTATCACAGAGCAATCTCTGAAATGGGTCTCTGGCTTGTAATGGTTGAATTTAAACTTAAAAGATTGCCTATAATTTGTATGCCTAAAGCTGTTGGGCTTGTAACTGTAAAAAATAGGGACTGACAACTAATTAATCGGTCATCATTGCATCTATTTTAGGTATGCTGCATTGTATACAGATTTATTTTAACCTGCCCTTAGGTTAAAAACTCAAATGCTGGCTGAAATACCAGCCCTTGATGACTGAGAGAACACATGTAACTTGATTCCTGTGTTCTAGAGAACAATGGTAGGTCAGCTTATTTGACTTAACCAAGGCATTTCAGTTAAAATACCTCCCTAGCCTTCATCATAGCTAATTAACACTTTAAAAAAACTAGCTTTTTTTGGTTAATTGAGTAATGTGGCATTTTCTACTAAGTACAAGTATTGCCAATTAATGCTACTGTTACATAGGGTACACTTAGTTTGAACAATGAATGTGTGCTATAGCAAACATTGCATCCTCAAACTCAAAATACTGTGTGTACTTAGTGGCCTGCAGCTTTAACAAGTCTTTCTTTACCCAACCTTAAATATCAGGATCAATGTTGCTGAAAGGTTAATGATATCTAAGTTCACATTCAAGATGTGCACAAACCTTCTTTATTTGAAGGGAAAAGGGGAACTCTAAAATGCTTAGACAAGTACTGGCTCTTGACATTGGTTCTGTATGTTGTGTTTTGGTGACTGTCTTAGCTAGGTCAATAGACTTTATGTTCTGTCATTCAAATGCAGTATGTATCTAAGCTGTTGCAGTATTTAACTTTCTTACTTTTTTACTGTTAAAGCTCTATTACATGTATTGATGTATTTAACCTATAATTATTGATATGGATTTGGTACAAGTCATAGCTAGAAGTAATGAACATTGGTCCCATGGATACAACTTTCATTGAGGAAAAGCTGCTTTTGTAGTAAAGATGTGTATGTATGGGGTCAGACAAAATAATTTGTGTTGCTTGGAGACTTGCTCAGTATGTATGCAGTGAACAGAAGCAGCATAACTGCCTGCTGAACAAGAGATCTGAACAAACATCTTTTAACCTATTCCAATAA